GCCTGCGGCTGCCTGCTGCCAGCCACTGCAGCACCGAGCTCCCGGCACAGACCGAGCTGTTGATGTCAGCTCAGAGGGAGCCATCAGACCCCCCAGGATTGAGGATATGGATAACCAAAACTCCCAGGCAAAAGAGTCAGTCCTGTCAGATTGCAGTGCTCAAGACGAACGAGGTGGGAAAAGAGGACAAGAGGAAAGGGATTAATTAGCCAGTGCTGCAGAAAAGACGGGCAGTGTCAAATGGAGTACGGGAGGAAAGAGGAGAATTGGCCTCTGGGGAAAACCTGTGTCCAGAGTTAGTGCAGCATTACCTATCAACAGCACAAGGGCCAAAGCCTCCGACCTCTTCTGAGACTCCCAGCGCACCAAAGCTACTCAAGCACGCTCCAGGCTTAACATCAGATTTATCTGCACACTCAGGAGCTGTTTGCGACAGTCTTCAATTTAATACCTCATGCTATTAAAGTAATTGCTTGTGCTAGTGGGGCTGGCTCCGTAGTCCTCATGGGAAGGAGAAGTGTGTGCTTGCCAAGCCAAGGGCACAGTCTCGGGGAAGGGACGAGCTCTGGGTTCATCAGCAGTACTGTCCTGCTCTGCGCTGTCCCTGGCTGGGAGCCGGAGCCAGCAGGCGGCACTCCTGTCCAGCTCGGTGCTGGGGAACTGGCTCCTCTCTTCCTCACAGGGGTGGATCTCAGAAACCCAGAGGGAATTCCCCAGCAGAGGAATAATCAGAGGTGTGACACGTTCCTGAGCAAATTGGATAAGGTCTTTTTCATTTCAGCTCAGGAATGTAAATTCACGCTTTAATAACTTTGTTCTTGCTCTGGCTTTCACCAGGGATCACAGGGTGCTCTACAAATACAGAGGTCTCTGCTCCCCTAGAAAGGGCACGCTGAGAGACCAGCACCAGAAATGGAGCAACTAGGCAAAAAATAGCAAAGGTCACACTTGTGTGGGGTTGTAGCTGCGGCAAATCTGTGACAGACAGATCTACTTCTGACCAAGACACTAAGCTCCCTGTATGGCCCGGGGACAGTCACTTTGATTCACCTGACCTATTTCTGGATGAGTAGTCACATCCTACAGCAATTCCCTCCATTAGGTACTGAGGGAGTCCGGAGTAACTCGGGTGAAGTCACTGCATTTTGCCAAATGGGTCCCACCACTGGTGCCTGAGTTTAAGTCTCCAATTTTCAGCACTTTCAGACAAAGGATTCTGCAGGAGGTGAGGTGCTTTGCAGGTCCCTGACACTTCAACAGGTGCTGCAAATCAACAGCAAATAGGTCCTTGCCCTCCAGTGACAGGAATTTACCAAGATTCAGCAACATGCAGCATCCAGAGGTGTTTTCATGAAGAAATACCACGGAAAGGGATTTTTTTTTCCACAGTGTATGTGGTCTGAAGCTCAGCAAATCACTAAAAGCTAGGAACAAGGGGAGATGTCTGTAAGATGGTGCAAACCCTCATCTTCCAAAGTCCTTGCCTTCCTCTGAAGCACCAAACACTGACTGCAGGGAGGGAGGACATCAGCTTGTCCAGCAGCTCCTCTGGCTATGGCATATCCCAAGATTGAGTCTCTGACGTGCATTTCAAAGTCTGCGCCTACAACACTTACAAGATGTCCTGGAAAGCTAGGGCAGAGTCAGCAGCAAACACAGGGTCCTCATGCAGATCCCGCTGACACAGGCAATGGGGTCATTTTTACTGGTGCAAAAATATGCAAGATATAATTATATGATATGAGCCTCTAAATCCAGACATCCCTATGCAGTAGGGGATTTTTGTCCTACCTTGCCCTTGGCTCTGAGCCACCTCTCACCACAGGAGGGAAAAAAACCCTCAAAGTACCGAGTTTCTGAAAACACTGGAAGCTACTTCTCTTGGGACTAAGGGTGCTCAGTGCCTCACAAAGCCAAAGCCCTTCCCCATATTCACACCCACCGCACCCAGGCGGCAGGCAGATGCACAGACGAGGAATGTTCCTGCTGTTAAGGCTCCCTTACCTGGAGGGGGACATAAACGACCTTCCTTGATTCTGGTGCTGATTGGGTGGGTAAATTTGGACAACTCTGTTGTTCCCTTTCCCATCAAATAACAGGGGTAATATTTAAGGTTCCTTGCAAAGCACTGAGAGATCTGCTTGTAAGGAAAATTCTGTGTGAGAAATGGGGATCATTTGATTTCAGGAAGAAGCTCATCATCCTGCAGAGGACCATGCCAAAATCTTGGGGCTGCCGAGATTCACGCTCAGCCCTCCAAGAGACCTTTGCACAGGGACAAACATGAGGTCTCTGTGCAGCAGTTGCAAGAAGAGATGAGACGCTTTTCTCACCTGCCGTCCTGCCCTGAGGAGTGTGTGCGCCTCCTGCAGAAAGAAACCAGAATAGTAGAGTTTGAGGAGCAATTTAAGACAGAAATCCTACACTGCCCCCAAATCTAACTCCCCACCCCATGAGGGAGATGTTCTACTTAACAGCTGACACTTCTTCCAGCAATAATTAATCCCATCAAAGCTGTGTCTGCTTGCTCCCAGGAGAGATTTAATTAAAATTGGTCATTAGCATTCCAGAGCATAGGGCAGCCTGCCGAGATCTGCAGCACAAAGAGGAACGGCAGCCGCTTGACTCCAGTGGAAGCAGGGGACAAGTGCTGTCCTCACCTGTACCTGGGCTGCTCAGATGTTTCCGAAGGGGATCGCTCGGGAACAGAGAGAGATGTTGAAGATAGTGTTGTGGCTATGGAGGCCGTGGTAGCTTCTTCAAAGGAAGGAGGTGTGCAGGGTAGCAGGTCTGGCCTGCCTGCTGGCCCGGAGTGGAGGGCAGGAGAGATGCAGGAAAAAAAAAAAGATGAATAGGTCAAACACCAACACCTTACCTACACCAGCCCTGTGTGAGGCTGTTCCACCATCAACCTGCACACCCTCACTGGGACCGGTCACTTAAAACCACAAACAGGCAAGAAGTTTAGCTGTGTTCATGAATGCAACAGCTTCTCCCAAGGCATCCTCTAGAGAGAGCCAGTAAGCACCATTTCCAGCATGACAGACAGACACCACAGGAAACGTACTGCCAGTGAAGACATCTCACTGGTAACCAAAGCTGGATTAAAGGCTTGGATCGCCAGAGATAAATACCCAAGTAAATTAAGAGATGAATCAAGTGCTCACTGCTTTGCACAGGTAGGAATCTAACACCTATGCACTCGAGGAGCCTGTCCTTCACCAATCATCTGTAAATCCAGCCCAGATGGCAGCGATGAAAAGGCAGCACAGAACCAGGCCATTTGTCTTTTTAACAATGGCAAGATCTTGCCCCTTATAACTGCCCAAACACTGTCACTAGAGCCCTGCAGTTCTCAGTTCCCCCCCACCTTTTTTTTTTTTTTAAAGGGTGGAAAATTCAACTTCCTGATTGCTTTTGGGCTATGACTGCTGGTGCCAGTTGGCAGCGGCTGCCTTACAGCAGTGACGCAAGCGACCATTTTTACTGCAGAACCATACAGTGCTGCAAAGAAGGGATTCGGTCTTCTTTGATGCAGAGGCATTGCTTCCCCAATCAACTAACTGCTGGTGCTGTGACAAAACAATATCCTCTTACCTTCTCCCCTTTCCTGGTTAAGTTTAGCACCTGCAAAGCATAGCAAGACATGCAATGAAGAGCTATCCATCAAGGAAGACAGGTGGTCGGTGCACAGCGGGGAACTTGACGAGAACAGGGAAGGATCCTAAGGAACCGCTAGGAAAGACAGGGTAATCACACAGCCATCAGCCACCAAACGAGACCATTACCTTCATCATCAAGTGTGGGGTAACTCCTGGCTGCACGAAGATCATACTGTGTTTCATCCTTTTCAGAGGGAAGCTGGCTAGCTGAAAATGCAGCTGTTGGACCAGCCGTCTTGACAGCTAGCAAGGCACTACGCCCTTTCTTTGAGGGAGATGACTTCAGAGCTGGATGAGAAGAGTGAAAGAGAGGATGAAATTACCACCACCACCTACTGTCACACCAAAGGAACTTTTCCCTTTATAAGGAGAGGCCTCTGCCCTCTGACACACACACGTGCTTTGCAAGTGCCATCTCCAAAGGACTGAGCCTGAGTCAGGCTGCAGGGAGAGCTCCGGGCCAGGAGTCTGAGCAGACCAAAGCAAGCCGTGACAACCTGAGGGCTTTGCAGTTCCCCAGCTTTGCTCTGTGTTACAGTGGAAAAGCCTGCTCAGGCTCTGGCCCAGAGACTCTCCACATGGACTGAAGCAGCAAGACTGAGATAAGGCTTGTCTCACATCACAAAGGCAACAGCTCTTGGACTAGGTACTTACAGGAATTCTTTCGAAACACTGTGTTGGTCATGAATTTGAAGAATCTCTCTGCATAAAAGCTGGGTCTGTGTACTGACACCGTGTCCTACAAAGGCAAGAAGCAATTGTTTAATTTTAAAATTATCCCTCAAGGCAGAATTTCTATAACAACCAATGCAGCCTTTTTTATTCCAACATTTAGCACTGATCGAGCCTTAAAATGGAAAGGCTTAACTGAAATGATCTGATTAATGCTATAAATAAGCCCGAAGCATTGCCTTTGATTTGACTGCATTTGATTATGTTCTTGCTGTAATTTTATAGTGGATTTTGGTGATTTTATTCCTTTGTAGACTTCCTGGATTTTTCAAATATTGGCCTGATTACATACATGAAATTTCTTCTGGCTTTGCTGGCTGACATTCAAAGCACACCTGGATACCTTGGCATACAACACAGACACCAAAATTCAGCCAAGGGTCTCTATACATTTCAAGTGTTTTGCACTTTTTGTTTAAAATCGTAAAACTGAAGCTGTCTCTGCTTCTGATGTTTGACTGTGCTGCTACGACTTGGCATCTACACATTTTCTTTGCCTTATTATTTAAGGGAAGCTAGGATATGCAATGCTGAAAAACAGTTTCCACATTCAAGGTTGCTTTTTTGTAAACATGCACCTGGCTGCTGCAGGAGACAAGACAGCAGGGAAACACTGAAAGGGATTTATTAACAGATAGCTTACTGAAGTTGAAACACAGTCAATCACCGAAGAGAGCAAATGCAGGGCTCCTTGACACATACACGAATGCACACGCCTTGTGCGTACAGCTCCTGGTATCATGGGGAGGAGGAAAATGACAGATGGGAGCAGCGGAGGAAAGCTGGTAGCATGACAGCTAAACATGCAAGGAGGTGGAGTGAGCAAGAAAACCTGATTGGGAATAAGTGGCACTACACCGCTGTGGAGGCATAAGAGGCAAGAACTATTCCTTTCATCAGCTTCAACTGTGCCAGTTCAGGCACTATAAATAGCAAGGTAATCGGCACCAACTAGCATAAACGAAGCCAAGGCAGGTAATCCTGCCGAGGCCTGGACAATTCCTGCCTCTGTACAGGCACTCACCCCGTCATGGACAAGGGCCTTCCAGGTATGTTCTAGCTTCTTGATGAACCTAATTCCAGGGGAGAAATGGAGAGAGAAAAAAAGAGACAGATTCAGGCACATACTCTGTATCTAAGCCACCTTTCATACCCCGCACAGGAGAGATCACTGAGCTGCTAACAATTCCTCCTTCATCCGGAGTGTAGCTTTCCTCCAGCCAAGAGAGGTTGGCTGAGTACACCGGCATCTCTGCAGTCAGGTCAGGACTGCCTGGGAACCCTATAGGGAAGGAGCAGCTGGGCTGGAAGAGGAGCAGAAAATCACCTTCCATCCCTGGAGGTATGCTACCCATCCTAGGCACAGAGATGGGAAACTTCTATGAGCAACTCATTATATCTTAGAAAAATTGCTCTGTGTCACCAGCTTTTCTAAGGACAGGATAAAAAACCACAGCCCCCGACATGCATTGACAGATGGCTTTAGGCAGCCTGCCCACTCATTATCAAGCTCTTCAGGAGAGGAAAATCTTCCTGCTTTCATTCAGTATTAAAATAGATGTTAACACACTTAAAGGACTGACAACTGCAAAGTTACCTACCTGTATGATTGAAGGATATCTATTATTCCTACATGTAGCAGGAGACGCTCTCCTTTGCCATTCACTGCTGGGATTCCTCCCATCCTGCAGGGAAAACAAAACCTCAGCGAGTGCAGCCTCAAAAAGAGCAGCTGTAATACCCCCGAGACCTGCGGAAGGGTGGACGGCAGCACTGAGAAGAGGGCTCTGATGTGGTGGTCAGACACAGTGCAAAACCTGCAAAGTCACTTTGTGCACAACCATGGGAAGTCACCTACTGACCCAGGCTATCTCACACAAGGTGATCCCGGGGTTGCTGCCTGCAGTGCCAAACACCAACTATCAGGACAGGACCCGTGTCACGTGGCAACAGCTCCACCTGGGCCAGAAAGCACCACATCATTTTTTCTTAGCTACAGACTTATTCTGGGGATCAGATTATTTATCAGGTCAGCATGAGCTGTCTGCCTATTAGGGCAGCAAACCTTTAAGAACAAGAGTATTTCCAGTCCCATCCACAATAGTATCAGTCCTGCCAAAGGTGCAGCAACCGCTAGCACCAGCACACAACAAAGGCATGCAGGTATCAGGCAGGCCACTGCAATTAATGATGCTAATTGAAAGAATGGAAACACCAAAGTATTATCCCGGCTCCACCGTGACTGATCCTCCATCAAAACTGGAGCAGCTGGTTTCAGACAGCAACAAACAGCAAACTCCACCATTTGTTAGCAAGCTTGGTCCACAGAGCCAGAGAGACAGTCACAAGAGCCACCTGCAGCCTAAGAGCCAAAGATCGGGCACGGCACAGCACAGGACAGGTTTTGGGCAACCCCCTCCCAACCCACAGCTCCACCAGTTACTCCAGCACTTGGCTACATTGCTGTTTGCTAATTGGAATGGGATGGCCTCAGGGTACCGTCAGGGATTCCAAAGATGGAGTGATGGAGAACAAACTCCAAGCTCCTAGGGACAGGCTGATCCCTACTTCCACTCCAGTATTTGGATGCTGAGCTAGAACGGAACTAGTTTCTCCTCCCCAGAGCATGGGTGGATATTTAGAGGCTGTTACAGGAGCTGACAACCTACAGACTGGCCTAAGAAAAGAGACTGCTGCGAGGCTGGAGTCTTACAGAAAGATTTCCCACCCCAGCTTCCCCCTTTCACACCACACTGCTTTACTGGCAGCAGTACCATAACCCCCAGGAGAGATGGTCACTCTAACAGTTCATATGGGCCTCGGTCACGGATTTACTACTCCAGCCTCCACTTCCACCCCTCCCCAGCAGCACAAGAGAACCAGGTTTTCACCTACGTGTCATCTGTGTCTATGGACTCCCCCCGGGCAGCCCCACCCTGGATGGACTCCATGGCCGTGGAGTAAAGTGCCTTCTGCCCCACGGGACGCTTCTCATCCGACGTGCTGTGGGCTCCCTCAGACTGTCGCTCCCGTTCCTGCTGGTCTATGTTATGAACCCCAAGCAGGAGGCTGTAGTCCATGATTTTAAAGCTTTCCAACACCTACAGGTTAGTATTGAGTTTAAGAACAGAGACAAAATATCAGGCCAGCAGCTCAAATACAGCACAGATCCCAAAGCATGGAACAGCCTGTCCACATTCTCACTAACAACTCCTTCGCCGGAGCTTGAACATTTCTGAACCAATAGTCATCTCTGGACTTGATCGCATAGAGTTTGGCCATCCCACAATCAACCCAAAGGGCTGAAGGCTTGCTAATAACACCGTTGTACCATATATCTGCTGCACACTGTATAGGAAAAGTGTATTTAGTCCCAACAGCCCAGCTGCAAGTGGAGCATGCTGCCACAATTTGATGCACCAGGCAAAGAAACACAGCCTTAGTCCTCAGAGGCTGTCATGAGATCCAACTCCACTGCTTTGCTTTCAGGGAAAAGAACAGTAGAAGGGACTTATCCTGCTTTGGGGTTAGCAGATTAGCAAGGTTCTCAATCATTTGCTCTTCCTCATGCTTGAGAGCCACAGAACTTCATTAACCTGCTCCCCAAGCTGCCCGCCTCCTTACCAGACAGTCTCGTTGCAACGTTTTCACCAATGCACTGAAGGTATCTGCATCCAACATCAGGCCCTCGGGCATGTCTTGCATGAAGTCTAGATCCTTGTACGTAGGGCTGGACTTTTCTTTTTCCTTCTTGGATGCCCGGCGTTTATAGGTTGAGCCTTTCAGGTCAAATTTCAGGTGCATTTTCACCACGCGAGGCAGAATGTTGTTCATCACGACCACGCGGATGTTTTTGCCCCCTGATTGCACACAGTACAGTCCATAAAACTTCGGCAGCAGTGTCCGTGGGTTCTGGTTCAGATTCTGCAGCAGGGTTGGGAAAAAAGCATGAGGAAAGGTAATTTCGGCAGAAGACTCCTGCTGTGTTCAACACAAAGCACGTTAACAGATCTTGGAGCAGTCACACCAGGGTTTCTTCACCTAAGGATTTTCTGAACTTTACATGAGAGCTTACTGTACACATTTGACACACTCTTGCATTTCAGTGGCTTTAGGACCTGAAAATACCACTATGCCTTGAATACAGGGAATGAGATGTACAGCACTCTGGGCAAATAACCAAGTCCGGAAATTCCCCGCTTTCCCCATCAACAGCAGCTAAAAAAGGGAAACCAAACTGGAAGACAAATAAACACAGTAAGTGGGAACTTCAAGTTTAAAAATAACAGCTATCTTCATCTCTTCAGAAGTGTCAGAAATCAAGAGCTGTTCTCTGGCCCAGAATAAACCAGGGACTTGTTTTTTTTTTTTTTTAAACAACATCAATTTTCTCCTCCTTTTGCAGAGCTGCTTTATAAAACACAGTTGGCTAGAGAGCGCGGATATCCTGCTCTGCTATCATGTCCTTTTTTTACGCAGCAGTTATTATTAGGAATGACATGACAGGCATGATTTGCTTGTTCAGCTTTGGGAAAATTTGGGAAGGAAACAGAACATCTCTGTACGCTACAAAAGAAAGGACAGACCTGACAGACTCTGACAGACGGCAGAAGCACGACTGTATTAAAATTTCATGCCCCTCCTCATCTCACCTAACTGGGCAAACGAGTGAGCCCTCTTTGTGAGTGCGCTGCTCAACATGGTGCAAGCTAAAAGGAACAGAGGCAGGCAAGACCGAACGCAAACAGCACTTGCCCAGCTTCAAAGTAACTCAGGATGAAATCACTCTGCTTCCTTTCCACTGACTCCTTTTACAGCAGATGGGTTTCCCCAGAACAGCAGAGAGATCATGTGTTAGCACCACAGTAACCCACAAACATTGGGATGCTACAACAAGGAGCACACAACTCTGCACCAGACAGGTAAGTTCAGTTTAATTCGTTACACCGATTGCTAGCCAGGACAGCTGCAGAATTCAGGACAACAGTGCAACTCCATTCCCATTCAAAACCCTCCACCTGATTTACTACATACATTGGGCAACAGGCAACACTTTCCAAGAAAGCTCATCCTGTCCAGGAACTTGACTGTCGCAAAAGCAAGCGACTGGCTGTCAGTTATATACAGACACCCAAGACCCTGTCTCACTTCGGCAAATTTTCCCCAGTAAATATTGAGTGAGGCAAGTATTTTCATAAAAACAGTGTACATAAATCAAATCCACTGCAACATGCACGCAGACGGGGCAGCATTAACATCGCTTGCCATCACCTTCTCCTCAGCATCTCCATGGCAAACAAATCCCTGGGTGGTTCTAACTGAATTTCAGTGCCCCCATCCATAGAGCTGGACCCTTCACCACAGTTATGCAGGGAGGCAGCTCCTGGTTTACACGCCAAAGCATCGGGTTTGGTTCTGATTTACTACTTGTCACCACGTGCAAGTCCTCTGGGTCTCAATATATTGCCTTGCTAGCCCTGAGATTTAGGCAACAACTATCTGCAGCAGACTGGATGTGCAAAGCTGGCTGGTACTGCGGGAGTCTTTAAGCTTGGTACTGCAGCCAGTGGGAGCCAGGACAACCAGCAACTGCCTTCAGAGTAACTCTGTTAAACAGCAGATATGGCAGATATCCAGGGACAGCAGTGGTTTTCCCACAAAACCAAGGTGGCTTTGTTATTGCAATCAACAGCCATCCTCAAAGCCAGGCTGAGGCAGATGCATGGTGCCAAGCAAAGAAGAACGAAATAGTGCTGGAAAAAGGACACCCAGAAACACACATCTGGGAAGGCACTGCCAGGCGAGAACATGCCTACAAGCCATGGCACAATTATCTGCCTCAAGTTTACCCACGGAATTTGCAAATAATTGGCAGGATTTGTGCTTCTGGGACTGGCTTCGTGACACACTTAACATTGTCCCCGGCACAGGGCGGGCAGGCCACAAGAAACCCAGGTGGAGGACATGCCCTGTGCGATGCTTTGGACAGAAAAGCTGCCACGACAAACCCAAGTTGGGTCCAAGGTGCTGGGTGATACACACCATGTAGTAGCCAGGAAGGAGCTTCTGTAGGAATTCAGCTTCCTTGTGCATCACAGTTTTTATGATGAATTCATCGTCGCTGGTGACATAGAAGAGGGAGCCGCTGGCACCAGGGTTCGACAGCTCTATCAGAGGCTCATTACATAATGAATACTAGGGAGGAAAAGGAAAAAAAGATGATGTTTTTAAGCCCCCACTCATTGCACGCTGAGTTCTATGCTCTTGAGGGCTTTCCCCAGCATGCTGTCTCCCTGTGAGATTAAGGGGTAGCAAAGCTTAAGTGAGAACTATTTTCATTATAGGTTAGGTCTAAGCAGCAAAGCTGCTGGACAATTTACAATTAGAGACCGAGATTACAGTTCAGAGCATCCCAACTGCTCAGAATCAAGCTAATCATATGCTTTCAGTAACATCCAGACTTCATAATGACATCTGATCTTTCCCCATTGTGCGTGTATGCATGTATCACATTTAGGCTTTTTTCAGCACATTACTGCAAGCGCAGACGGAAAGATAGGATTTTAAGAGACATGACAGTCTGCTCAGGGTACCACATATCACCGTGCTGGAGGGAACACAATGCACTGGCTGTTCTCAGCAGCCTCCTCTGGCCTTGTGCTCCCATTACAGAGGGTTTTTACAGCCACATCTCACCCCCTCAATCCCGCTAGAAACACATGAAGAGTGTCAGACCAGGTGCCCAAACAAGAGGAGAGGGATCAGTGCTGTGTAAGCACAGCAAGGGGTACTGCATCAGGAATTGAATTGGGAGGACATTTCTAGACATCAGCATGCAAACAGCAGGTCCTCAAATGAGGATATGCCTAGCAGCAGTGGGGGGGGGGGGGGGGGGGGGGGGGGACGAGACAAAGCACAGCACAACAGAAGAAAGCACAAGCACGCATGTGCACTTTACAGCTAAGTACCAACCCCAAGGTAACTGCGTAGGTCGAGTGGGTTCAGGACAGCGTCACGTCAGAGCTGCCACAGCAAGAGGTAAGATGGGGAGAGGGAGGTAGGGTATGTAAGGGACATAATCAGAGCGATAAATTAAATGCTCATCATTATGTACTGAAAACAGCTTTCAGCACTGCACAGATTAATGATCCAAGACTTTATCAAGCTAATTATCTCATGCATAATTAAAGGCATTTGCTGCTGTGGCAGGCAAGAGGGAATCAGGGGAAGCAGAAGCAACAAATCAGAGCCGTGACCTTTGCAATTGAGGCAGGCTCTTTGCCTCACCCAGGTTTTGAACCACTCATCAAATCAGCCAGCATTATCTTGGATGGCACAGATGGGGACCACTGTTACTGTCAAACCGTGCAATGGCACAGACTTGTTTCTACTTGTAGGTGTTCAGCTACGATTACCCCTATCTACAGCTGAAGTCAGAAAAAAGGGCTATTAAAAAAGGGGGAGGGTGTGTGCTCATTTGGATGTGTTCCCTTCCCTGGTTCAACAAATGTCCTTTTCTAAAGAGCAGGACATCACATACATGCAAGGGACAAAATTCAACCCCAGTGTACTCCAAGCCCCAACAGCTTGTATTACTAGGCATTTTAAAAACATCCTTTCCAGCTCTGAGGAGCTTTCTGAGCACAAGAACAAACTGTATTTTATTCTGTCTTTGTAAGATGATTAAAATAACTACACTCACATAGCTCTCGAGTGAGTACACAAGGAAAAATTCCCATCTTTGTCCTCAGGGCCCCAGGGGACATTACAGGGTTGCACCCAGCAGAACACAACTCCTTTTGCTTGTAAACACAGTAAGTTATTGTCACCACAAGCAGCAGAGAGGGAACCCCATCGCATAGCTTACACAGCACACACTGTATGCAGATCATTTCCTTTCCCTCCAGTGTAAGCTAGCAGCTACCTCTTAGCAAACAAAGACCTGGGCTGAATGATGCTGGTCTTGCCGGGACCGTCACCGGATCTCCTCCAAAATTGAATGGAATCCCTAAATCCACAGCCTGTTCCCACTCCTTGCTGGGATCAGAATGATTCCTCAACTCTTTTCCATTCCTTTTAGCAAGAATTGCTGACAGCCTTGATTTAGGGGCAAATTTCTTGCATTACTCTGGACCATCTCAAATAAAGGAGGAAAGACAGAGAAATCCAAAAATATATCCATACCAAATAATCATCTGGACGAATCCCAAAGAGTTCTCGAAAGTACCGAAAAGCCACTGGTGCATAGGTCTTGAACCTGAAGTCAGCATAATGGTGAGCCGGGGTGAGATTACTGCCTTCGCTGCACAGAACAGACATTACATGAGCAGGGCCTCTGTAATACCATTCACCAGATATGTACAGTCACTGGCCTCTCTATATTTGAGATGAATTGAGCCTTGCAAAAAGACATCTTAGGAACAACAACAAAAAATATCTTTCTTCTGTGGCAGGACAACAGGAAAATAGGTTTTAAATTATCTGCCAAAATCTGTTTCCAAAGAGTGTAAGGAACCACCACTTGCCAAGCAGAATATATTTACACAGAGAACACAGCCTTTATGAGCTTTGTTTATTCAGAGTTAAAGAGCTCCCAGAATGAGTTTCTTCCATCTCAAACATGGTATAATTTTGTGGAAGAAATTCTAGATGGACAGGTAGAAAGAAAAGCACACAGGAAGGCTAACAAACTCAAGCATACAGTACTGCATCTTACATTGTACTTCCTTGCAAGCCAGTGTACTGCAGAATCTAACACTTCCCACTGTTATGTTTGTATGTAATGGATGCATATTTAAAACATTCAGAGCAACCAACTCTGTGATCTAAAGACAGATGGAAGCTCTCTTGAAAAATCAGTGAGAGGAAAAGAAATAACTCATCCATTCGTTTTGTTTCCCCTGTCTCCTTTACCTTGGGAAAAAAATGCTCTCCACCACGTAGAAGTCCTGCATCAGGACATCTCTCTCTGGCTTGGAGCTCAGATTGCCGACAGTATATCCAATCCCTAGCTGGATGGCCCCCTTCAGGGTGGATGAGGTGGTCTGGCAGAAAGAAAAGAGCAGTAAGTGAGCATTTTGCAGCAGATTATCATGATAACATCCCCTGTATTATGATACAGTCGTGTCTACGACTTCTATGGGGTCATCTTGGGCACTACATACTGCTAAACAAGTTCAACCAGCTGCTGAAGAGACGGATTAAGGCTTCCAGAAAGTTTGCCGTTTGCAAGATTATGCAGTACAAGGGTGCCACATAAAATCTAAATCAGATTGGTAGCTATTAACAAACTGAACCAGGAAAGCTCGGTTGTGCTATTGCTAACCTTGGGCCCCAACCTCTCTTCTCAGCCTGCCACCTACACAGAGCTGCCAGTCCCCACTCCAAAAAACCAAACCTTTTTGTAGGTGGTTTCACCAGAAGCATCAACGCCTCGATGACCTATCTTCTTTCCTTGGCCAGGCTGTCCTGGTAGCGATGGTCCCTGCAATGAAAGAGCATGGCTAAAGCCCAGAACAGAAGCTGACCTGGCTGACAAGAACAAGCAGAGCAGCACAGGCACAACCACGCTGTCATGGTTGTAAAGGACAGAGGGATCGCTCTCTACCACTGGAGAAAAATCTGCAGAGTGCAAACAGGTGTAATTGGCACCGGCAAGCCTTAAACAAGGCTGAATTATACATCCATCCCTCAAGACAAGAAGAGTTAGAACACCCAACCACTCCATCTGACACCCTCAGTACTAACGGGGCAGAGCCCTCGGCAAAGATGCTGAGCTCAGGAAAGATCTGCTTGCTTCCCAGCTGCCAAGATTCCACAGCAGTTGCTTGACCGCAGTTTCTCATTGATTTAAAATAGCAATGTATTAGATCAAACAGCGAGAGCATTTTATTCTTAAAAATCCCATGCCCTCAGGTGTCATACCAATACCTTGCACTTCACTGGAGAAATAACAGACAGATAACAAGGACAACACAACCCCACTCCTGTGTTCACATGGAGATAATCCATTTAAGCAAGAGTCATTTGTTTACAATTCAAAGGACGAGACCACAAAGAGTAAACTGCAATAACAGCTCTTCCTGAAGTTTTGCAAAGAGTTTACAGAAACACTACAGGACTGCCAGCACTTTAGAGTGAGAACAAACCTACTCCTATCCCATCTTCCTCCTCTTCTACCTCTGACTCTGCCTGGGCCTTTTTTTGCTGATCCAGGAGGCAGCAGATTGTGGCTGTACCCTTTAACAAGCCAACACAATCACGTTTTGTGAAGTTCAATACAGGTCCTTTTGCAATCCCAAGCATAGGGCCCCTATACTCTGCCACGGGGTAACGTTTCACCTACTCCCCAGCTCCCCTGCTCCCCCAGCGGATTGCGGAGCCCAGCAGACAGCTAAAGCTGCCGGTGAGCCACCAGCAACATTTGGGGGTTTGTTACATTAAAGAACAGCCAGGCTTTGGATGTTCCTTTAAGCAGCATGCAGAGAGATCCAAGGTCATTTCCCAAGTGACAATATTATATCACCGTCTCTCTCAAGTGCTGCACAGACCCATCTCTCAGAACTGATGTCTACAGTAGACAATGTATAATTTTGTTCAGACTACAGAAGTTCTTTGTGTGTTAGCTTTTAATCAAGAGCTTGCAGCTATTTCTGGTCAAACCGCTTGTACTTCTGGTACTAAGGGGCAGTCTGATTTCTCCTTCAAAAATCTTATTTCCTACCCTGTTTTAAACATTTAGCACAGCCAGGCTTGCTTCTGAGTACTCCTCCAAGCAGTACAGCTTATCCTTTCCTTGCAGCTTCTAACCAACAAGCTGGATCCCATTACACAGGAGCTCAAGCTGTATCGTCCTGCCTCACCACATGGCTCATCATCATCCTCTCAAAGCAATTAACAGACACAGGTATTGGTTAAGAGATTGTCATCATATGAAATGCAGTAACAAAAAGTCTCTTCCATAGTCTCTTGCTCTACTTGTGACTGTAGAGAGGGCAAGAAAAAGTGGGGCTATTTGTGCATTGAACAAAGCAGTCAACTATCACATAAGTTGAGCTTCCTACTATGCATATTTCTGGGGAGGCAAAAAGAATCAAGTGTCACATTCCTGGCAGTTTTATGGGAAGATTTTGCTATTCATGTATACAAATGCTCATCATCCCAGGTGAGTAATGTAAAGGGGTATGTCAGAAAGTTAGATCAAACAAAAATCATTTGAACATGGTGCCCTAAACCAAGAGTGTGGGCTTCAGGGAACAGTTTTCAGGCACAGATCCTCCTACTAGATTCCCTGCTGCCAACTGTGAAGAGTTTTGCTCCAGAAGGTAACAGTGATTCAGCAACCTGCGATCTGGATTACGTGTGAGAGAAAAATCAGTCCCTCGAGATGTTCCCCTGTTTTATGGCTTCACAAATTACAGCCTCCTTGACTCACTCCAGGAGCAGGTGAGACCCAACACAGAGCCCTGGAGATGCCCAATACACGGATTCTCCATTCATCACCTTCAGGTTCTGGTGTGGAAGAAGTGCCCTCAGCCACTTACTTACAGACATCATGGATCACGCAGCTAAAATTGGCCACGTGGTGGGCATAGTCCCTTCACATCCCCTCTGTGACTGTGGTGATGCCAACACAGGGACTCCAGAGACCTGCCACTAATTTTCTTTCTCCCAAATAACAGATATCAAATTTTCAGTAATCTTAAATGTATTTTGAAGTCCAGCTTTGCCGAAAAAAAGTCAGGCAGAAGTGTTTTCTAAAGCTCTGTGTTCTCATTTCTCAGCATGGGATTTTCAAGGCCAGCTTTACACATCTCACCTCGGTGACGGCTGCTTTCTTCGGTGCCAGACCTGAGGAGAGAAGGGAAGAGCATCAGTAAAGGCAGGGACATCAGAAGAAAAAAACATTGAGAAAATAGCCTAATGCTTCTCTTTCAAGCAAGCTGAAAAGCCTTTAAAAGCAGCTGGTTTTGCTCAGTTTTCAGTTTCACTAGTGCAGGAGTCTGAAGTTACAGGGGTCACCCAAACAATTTCATATTCAGAAGCACAAAGATGCACGATTTTTCCTAGCAATAGTGTTTCCTAGAGGCTTCAGTGGAGAGAGTTCTTGTAAATCCCTGCTGCACCGTAATAGGTCCACACTACACTGAAGAGTTGGTTACATACAGAAGCCCAGAGAGACACTTACGAAGCTGCTTTCCAGCCACTCAGAAGGCACTTGACAAACTTTATTGATAATTGAATCTATTTATAGAATCCGATGTCCAAATATATCGCAAAAATGAATGCATCACTTATCTCTACCACTGCCTTTGGGAGAAGCGACCATTACTCCATTACAGTGAATGGTAAGAAATTAGGATTTCACCTCAAGCTTTTAGATATATAATCAGAGTTGGAAACACAGGCCCAAACCCTCCTCTAACATGAGGCCATCTTTCCGTTTCCTAGCACAAGCCCACATTTGCAAGGAGCTCCTTATTTTTAGGCAATGGTGAGAACAGGCTCCTCTGCTGCTGGCCCTGTGAGGTGTTCGCTGACCTGCTGAGAGCCTCATGCGTGGGACCACAAGCTCAAGTCCAGTTGGCTCTGGAGAGCCACCATGAACAAGGATCAAGAGCTGATGAAGAAGAGCAGGTCCCCACCCCATCCCGGCAGCACAACGTCCCCCTGCCAAGGCAGCTCCCCAGCCTCCCTCAGCCACCTCTGCATGCAGAGCCCAGTTACTAGGAGAGAAGCCCGCTTGCAAAGAACGCAAACCCAAGTGATAGGTTTAAGGCCATCTGTTTCCAGGTACGAGTCTGCCGCTCCTTGCTCCTGTCTGAAGCGTTCCTACAAGCACAGATCATTAAGCAACCCACGATTCCGTAGAAAGGACTTAACTTCACAGGAGACCATCAAGCAGAGCTTGAGAGTTTTGGCTGTGAAGAAGAAAGGCTCTTCCAAGCCCTCAGCTTTTCCCCACTTGAGGGCAACGGGTGGATTACACAACTGCCTGCCGGTGTGCAAATCCTCCGACTCAAGAGGGATATCTACACTCAAGCTGGGGATGTGTGGTCCCTCTCCAGGGGAGCAGGAGATGTCCAGCCCTCCTGGTTGGAGAGCAGGAAAAGCCCCAGAGGATCCAGCCCGACATGCTGCTGCTTCAGCATCTCCCCCATTTGGCCAAGGAGGAACTACGATGGTTTAAGTGGGTAACTGCTCAACCTCCTCCAATACAAGCAGCGATGCTTCAGGGCTTGTTTCAAAAGGAGCCTGAGCAAGAAGTTGGGCGTAACAGGAGCACAATGCTCTGGAGATGGCAATAGCGCTAGGAGAGCATGTGATTCAGTTATATTTCAGGAAATATTTCAGACACTGGGAAGAAAAAAAGCAACAAACCCAACAAAAACCCCTTGGTGGTCACAGGGGAGATGAAATTGCTCTCCATCAGAAGTGCTGAGGTTATCTCACAGTCCGGTCTCAGCAAACTAGGGATCCCCTGGCGCAAAATGGGTCTTGTCAATGTGGCAATTTTGAACTGTCTGCAATGCAACCCCCCAGCCTGACAGCTTGGCCTGCGCTTGCAAAGCTGGAGCGGCACGGGAAGATTAACTTCTTGTTGTTTTGTTTTAAATCGTGCTCTCTAGTGCCCAAGTTTCGCATCAGGAACAGAATCACAGGACTGCAGCAAAAGTCTGAAATCCTGCTCCCTCCGTGCAAGCTGCATCACAGAATCCCATCTCAAACAGGAGGACAGGAGGCGAGCAGAGCAGGAACCCCTCACTGGCACAGAGTGGCCCCCCTCCATCACCCACCTGGGTTGCACATCCCTCAACCAAGGGGCCGTCACCTACACGGGCAGGCGCCGTGCGCGATGGGCAACATGAAACCCTGTCACTCCCTCCAGCTCTCTGGGACTGCACCAGCACGCAGCTCAGAGGACCACCACTAGTTCAAACCCGCACCAGTTTTTGTGCTGAAAAATTAGTTCTTTGGCCTAAGACAACACAATTTTATGATCGCTCAACAAAAAGCCCTGCAATGGCCAGGGGAGCAGGAGATACAGCACCGAGTGAGCATTTGGCTAACGAACTTTCAGAGCACGAGCTGGAGCAGCAACTCAAGACCACAGAAGAACCCAAAGTGGCGACTGCTGCTCCAGGTTGAACACTGGAAATTGCTGGGAACACAATGCGGCCAAGAGGGTCCTGGGCCAGGGAGACTACGCTCTCCCTGCCACGGCCGAGACTGCTCTCCTACTGCACTAATCTCTTTTCTGCACTTTGTCACAATTCCAGAGCAGGAGATTATCTTTAATTTTGTGATAATTACCACAAGCCGCTTTCATTCCCAGCTTTTAAGTGTCTGCTGCTGTACACGTACCAAATGTGGAATCAACACCAACCGCCCACGCGAAGGAAAGGTACCAGAGGCGAGGAACTGTGGATCTCCAGGAGAAATGATGCTTCAGGCAGCAAAACCTGCAAAACCTCCCTCCTCACCCCCCTAATAACAACAACAACAATAACAATAATATCATCATCATCGGCTTTATAAAAATCAACTTGACTAGGCATAAAATCAAATTGACTAGGCAGAAAGTGAAAAAATCTTCCACCGGCTACTCAGTGCGTGGCACTCGGCTGTGCTCATCTCAAACAAGCTGACAGATGGCCCTGCAAAAACTGATTTAACTCCAGCTTCGGGGGTTATACAGCCACGAGAGACAGCACTCGGGTTTGTGGGGAACAGGAGCTCTGCTGTGGGAAGTTTCAACACTTAACAAGCTAATTGAAATGATTCTTATCAGATTTGGTGCAGCTTAGTGAGGATGTATTCAGAAACGTGATGAGCAGCTCTGGAAGGGGAACCCAGGATGAAACCCCAGCTTTCTGCCCTGCCTCCAGCTCATGCCTGGTTTTTGTAGTGTGTTTCATGCACGCTTGACCTGCTGCCTTCAGTTCCTCTTCTCATCTGTGCACGGCTTTGAGTTGACCCTATCCCAGTGCTCGAGCTCCTCCAGAGCCTCAGAAAAGAACGCTTTGGTTGTAGCATTCAGCAATTCTCATCTCTGATTTAACATCTATTTTTCTCATATGCCGCCCTATTCACAGCCACAACTGTCTTGTCCGTCCCTGCCACGATGCTGACACCCCGCAGGACAGGGATGAATTTACTCCTGGAAACCCTCTGCACATTCACTGTCTGACAGAAAAGGACTCCCGAGTTTTAGCTCTACCATGCCAGGGGAGCGTAAACCTACACAAGATGAGATAACCCATTTCTCTTCTTACACGATATATTACGTCAACAAATTGGTGTTCAGACCTTTTTAGGCCCCTCACCCTCCATTTACACATGCTTGATCGCTCGCTCCCAGTAAGCAAAGCACAACACAGGCTGGCAGGAGCGCTCCCGCTCACGAAGGAAACCCTCATCGTTACCGGGTTCATCAGCCAGCCTCATCAGTGCATCTGAACTCACAAAATGGCGCAGGGTTGGGATCAGAGCAGCTCCCTCGGCTTCTCCAGGCCACCACCTCTCTAGATGCTGTCATCAGGGAAATGCAAGTGATGTCAGAAGTTAAGAAGTTTAAAAAAAAAAATCATCAGATCTTTGGGCTTAAAAGCAAACTTCATGAAAACCAGAAAATACTGCCCTTGCTGTCCACAACTTGGAATGCATTTAAGTTAAAAACATGGGCTTCAAGTTTCATTTATGTGCAGAGAATAAATTTTAAAATCTAATCAAGGAAAAAAAAAAAGTCACTCAGATCTCTCAAAACCAGCTAAGGCAAGTTGACTAGCAAAACTCCTTTGTTATAAACCCAGAAAGAGCCATGAGAGGCTTCTATCCACTGAAAAGGAATTTCTTAAGAAAGTTTACAAACATCCAGCAGAAGCCTTGTTTAACACCTAATAAAGAAGTCTTCTTTATAAGACAGATGTACACACACATATATATATTTATAAGTATTTGATGCTTTATGATGCTCTAGATAAGTCAAAGCAAATGTGAATAACTGGTAGATTTATCTGGACTCCTATCTCCAGTCAGAGATGGCGCTGCATCTTTAATAAAAGCTTCACTTTATTAAAGAGTCTACCAGGAGCTATACAATGTGACTGCAACTAAAAATATGTTAGAGTATAAACACCACATAAGCTCTTCAGCTGGAGACTGTACCAACATGACCCCTCCAAAAATGCAACGCACAAGAGACTTGCAGTTTGCCACTCACTCTCAACTGGGGCAGCAGCAATTGTAATCAAACATGGCTAGTTTTCAAAGTATAGTTCTCCAAAAGCGCTGGACCAGCAGTTTATATTTGTTGTTGTTGGGGTTTTTTATTTGTTTGTTGTTTTTAAACTACTGAGCTGACAGCACGTTGCAAGATTGACATTTAATATTAACCCAGCGTAATCGGCTAGAAAGCTGAGAAATTCTGACAAGTCACACACACCCCGAAGAAGGTCTGGATCTAATTTCACACTTATTCGATTGAGAACAAGACAATGTGATACACTTTAGCAACCCATTTAGATGACAAGAGGAGGTGAAGACTGCAACCAGGATGCTATGATTTATTGTTCGATCAGACCACTCTAAACGCAGCCCTGTCTGGTCAATGCATTATGTGCAAAAGCATTAAGAAACAGAGTGCTAAGGCACGAGCTGTGAAAGTTAAAGCCTATACTCATGTAGCAGATGTGTTGCAGTCAAAATACAGAGAGAAAGGCTAGAAATGAAACGCATCCATCAATAGAGACAGCTGTTACTTCCCGTAAGGGACTGCTGATAAAAAGAAATTAAAATTGGGGAGGGGGGGGTTGCAATTCAGAGAAGATGCCAGAAAGCACATCTCAGCT